GATACATTCGATTATTGAACCTAACTCCGCGCTCATTCGCTGAGTATTGCCAAGCGTTTACGCGGGAGAGCTTCGAAGGCAGATTAAAAGGCCTAACCTCAAATTTGCGTGCCTGATCTTCGAAAACGAAATAACAAGTGTTTGTCTATAAATTTTATTTCTTTGATAACATGGAACTTTTTGACGATCCCGTTTTTAAAACCAAGTATTTGAAGAATAAGGTACGTGTGAAACGATGGGAAAGCGATTTTATGGAAAAATACGGACGCAGACCCAATAAGGTACGTATTTGCTTTTCTCGTGTTAGTCCACGTTCGTATCGTAATCTGTATTAAATGGAATCATCGGATATTTATTTCACGTTCATGTTTATATGAATTATATATTTAATAGATCAAATTCGGAATTTTGTAATCATTTACTTTTAAACTGAAAGTAATATAAAATATGTATGAAGTATATATGATTGCAATTTTAATACCGTATCTGAAATGTTTTGACATATGTTTATTGTATCATCAATGAAAATCATCAGTATTATATTATCACATATATTATATAGATATATTACTGTGTTATAATTATATGTCTCAATGGTTTTATAAATTTAGAATGACATAAAGGAAGCAGATATATCTATCAAGGAGGCATATAAGATATATTGGAAATTGAAAACACGTGCTCTAGAGGAAACTCTTACAGATATTACTTTTTGTGATGATATGCAAGACAATATCTCTAACAAATCACCACAGAAGTTAATAAATAATCAAAAACAAGACAAAAATCCAAGTCCAGAAAAAGTTATAAAAGATACCGAAAATATAAATCCTCATAATAGCAAATGTTCTATGGAAATTGAAGATTCCTTCAAGCAGTCCAATATCAAGGAGGATTCAAATACACTAAACATTGAAGGAATCTGGGGTAATCATTTGAATAAAACTAAAGAACCAAAGAAAAACAAGCCTTGTTAGTTGGTAGATCTTCTTCTTTCCAATTGTCTAGAAATAAGTTTGAAAGCTCAACCTTTACTAAACGAAATCCGAGAAAATCATTATCATCAATCAAAATAAAAGATAAGTCTGAAAATAATATCTTGAATAACTCAAGTGTTGATCGAATGGATTCGGATAGCAAAGATAGCTTTGATGTAGCAGCTATTGAGACAAAGCCCATATTTGGTGAATCAATAAATGTAACATTTGAGAGAAATAAACCTGTTATTTCACGCTCAATTAATACTGTTCAACAACTGATCGATGGTCATGTAACTGACGTAAGTCGCAATTTGAATCAAGGTTGGCTGGATCGATGCACAAAAGAGAGTAATATGGAAGTAATGATCAACTCTCAGAGACTCTCAGGCACCAGCGATTCTGGTGTAGAGTCCATGGAATCTAGTATTTATTCCCCTAAGGATTTGGCCACTGTAAATTCTATTTCGTCACTTCAAATCTCTGACGAGGAAGATTTTATATGCGTCAGTGATTCCGAAGAAGAACGCAAAAATAAACGCATCAGAAATTTAAAGAAACGACAAAGCGATGAAGACGATCATCCCGCGAAGCGTCAATGTGTCGAAATCAATTCCGATTCTATGACCGTTGAATCTAATGATATAATCGATAACGATACATTCAAGCTGACTTCCAATGTCAATAAGAGTTTTAATTTATTGCCTGGAGATAAATATAATACGGACAAAACTGACAATGATAATGCATTTAAATTGATTAACGATGTTAACAAAAGCACCAATACAGTGAACAAATCAATTAGAATTGAAAGAAATACAGTTATTTTGGATTCGAACATTACAATGAAAACTGAGAACGATCAAACAACAGTATCCGTAATGCATACCATTCCAAAATCAGCAGATCTCAATCGAAAGGACTCGAAATCCGACAAGAAATCAGTGAAACAACGTGTATCACATCGGAAAGTAAAACAAATGTCATCTGACAATTCTTATGTTGATTATATGGAAGAGAAAGATAAAAAAATTAAGACGAGAGTAAAGACAAAAGTTGCCCGGACATGTACCATAAAGAAATCCACAAGTCAACGAAGTAAAGAAAAGACAAACGACAGTGAAGAAAAATCTGAGACGATTGATGAAGAGCAAAGCTCAAACTCAGGAAAGAAGAACATTCCGATATATGGTGTAGAAATGTTGCAAACGATCCCTCGATTCGCGATGAAATCAACTGGACCTGGCAATCTCGTCACGCAGTTTTCCGAAAATATGTGCATCGATACAGAAAAAAGAGAAACCCCCATATCCTCGATAGCAAGCACGAAATTGATTGCAAAGGAGAAACTAGAGAAAAAAATAGCTGCCGGAACGATGAATGACAATTTCATCAGGATAAATCTGAAGAAAAAAGTATTCGTGCGAGGTAAGAAGAGTTTCAACTTAATCAAGCATAAGAGGAATCAATGGAAGCAAAGGAAGAAGGAATTGGCGTCTAGTGAAAGCAATCTGGATGCAGCTGACCTAATCGACAAAAATGGTATGACGTGCTTTAAATGTGGCGAATTTGGACATTTTGCTCGAAACTGTTCAGTTTCCAAAGGTGACATTCTTTTACCTTTGGAAGAAATTGATGATTCGTCACACTTTCCAACTCTGGAGGAAGCAGAAAAGATGGCGAATGAAAACGCTGTTGTGGCTCATAGTCACAGGATTGAACGGCTTCCCGAAAGACCATCTTATTCCGTTGCGAAAACTTCGCGGAATGAAAAAGAAGACCTGACGGAATTATTCAATGATGACTTTGTGGATTTTGATAAGAAGACTGATACGTTAAGTTTTGGACATAAAGTACCACAGGAGTTGGTATCTCAACTATTACCACCTGAGATGAAAGCGATCGATCCGCTATATACTATAAATGAAGATGGTAGTCTTGCCGAAACCCCCTTGGAAGTTTTCAATGTATTACATATGTTTGGCCATCAAAGTTTCAGAGCCGGCCAAGAGAAAGCAGTGATGAGGATCCTGTCTGGCCAGTCTACCCTGGTGACGCTATCGACAGGTTCCGGAAAGTCTTTGTGTTATCAATTGCCGGCGTATTTATATGCTCAACGTTCTCGTTGTATCACTCTTGTAATTTCACCTTTAGTGTCTTTGATGGACGACCAAGTGGCGCGAGTACCATCTTTTCTATCCGCCGCGTGCTTGCACACCAGTCAAACACAGAAAGTAAGGGAACAAGTGATGCAATCGGTGAAGGATGGCAAAGTAAACATTTTGTTGGTATCACCGGAAGCAGTGATAGCCGGCGAGAAATCCACTGGTTTCGGCGCTCTCCTCAGACAATTACCGCCAATCGCATTTGCTTGTATCGACGAGGCTCACTGTATCTCCCAATGGTCGCATAATTTCCGACCTTCCTATCTGATGGTTTGCCGAGTACTTAAGGAGAAGTTGGGGGTAAAAACAGTGTTAGGACTTACGGCGACTGCTACGAAAACGACGGCAGAAAGTATAATAAAACATCTAGACATATGCGATGGAATGGCTGGTGTCATATCGGATGTTCCCTTGCCAAGAAATCTCATCCTGACAGTGTCCAAAGATGAGAATAAGGATCAAGCTTTGATTGCATTATTGAAGAGCAAGAGATTCCACGAATGTAACTCTGTGATAATTTACTGTATTCGTAGGGAAGAATGTGCGAGAATCGCAGGATTGTTAAGAATATCGTTGCAAGTAAGTAACTGACTTTTTAACTCTTCCTTGAAACAATAATAATTGTGCTCATTAAAAATGAGCACTCTTGATTCTTTTTGTACAAAATGAAATAAATTAGTTTCTTTGCACCCGTTTCTTCTGTCCCCGTTCGTATAAAAATACTTTATACTCTATTTATACTTTATACTATGTATAATGTTTTTAAATAAGAGAGAAACTTATATTAAATGTTTTCACCGATAGGATCCGCGGAATCCTGAAAAACCAAACGCAAAAATATCTACAATAGCGGAAGCTTATCACGCCGGTATGACGGCTCATAGACGCAAAATTGTGCAAAAAGAATTTATGAACGGGAAAATTAAAATCGTAGTTGCTACTATTGCATTCGGAATGGGTATTAATAAATCGGACATTCGAGCTGTCATTCATTACAATATGCCTGGTACTTTCGAAGGATACGTACAGGAAGTCGGGCGTGCTGGAAGAGACGGTATCACGGCACATTGTCACTTGTTCTTGAATCCTACGGTATCGTATCTGATTGAAAAAGATTCAAAAAGATTCAAAATTACGCAAAATATCCAGATATTTTACAAAAACTTTTATTAATCTAATTTCTTATTTTTAAAACAGCAAAACAGTGATAAATGGGAATTGCGCAGACACGTACACGCGAATGGTGTCGATAGGCATACGATTAGACATCTACTCCAAAAAATTTTTATTCCTTGTTCTTGTACAAAAATTAACGAGAAGGATTCAAATCGAAGATGTCCTGGTCACGAAGTAGCTATTTCGATCGACGAGACAGTTCAAGCTCTTGACATCACGCAGGAAACAATTTCGACATTATTGTGCTATCTCGAATTACATCCAAAAAGATTTGTCACTGTTCTATCATCTGTATACATTCGAGCGCGAGTTTCAAGTTACAAAGGATCGCAAGCTCTTAAACAAGCTGCGCAATATGTAAGAGATTCTCGAAATAATAATGAGATATAATAATATTATATTAATATAATAATAATATAATAATAATATAATAATAATAATAATAATAAATATTTTGTAAACTTTTTTCTAAATTTTAAAGGAAAAGAATATTGAAAACAGATTTATTTTTAGTCTCCACCGCTCGCAATGGCAATAGCATTAGATATGAAAAATGGGATTTCACACGAAGATAGTAATGTTATAGAATTCCCAGTAATCGATGTTGCATCAGCTATTGGTTGGGATAGCGGCGTAGTCAAGAGTCATCTTAAGACTTTAGAATGGACGACAGGAAGTAAGAATTCTACTATGTTTTATTTCAGAGATATTTCGATATCTTTAAGACGTATTTCATTACATTACAATTATGAACACTACGAATTTTATAGTTGACGGAAGAATGAAACGTTCGGCTATATCCGTACAGTATGATAAACTTGGTTTACGGGTGAAAGCACCGGGTGATCTTACCGACTCTGAACTAGACGAGGCGCTTGATGCATTGATTGCACGCACTCAATGTCAAGAATCTTCATGTCTGCAGCAGCTCGAACTCATATCCTCCGCGCTTAATAAAATCAGTATGTCATCGATCAAGAATTGCTCAGTTTTGAACGATGATATTATGAAAAAATCAGAAGAGCTCAAAGGCATTATCAGACAATATTTTCAATCAGATTCTTTAAATGATTTCGACATTATTTTTCAGGTATATTCTTTAATCGTAAATTAATCAATTAAAAATACCCGATATAAAAGCCATTAAACTGTTGGTAATAATAATTGGTAATATATTTTTTTATAGAATGAACTGCCAAATGAACAACAAATCGCAGTCGATGTTCGCAATTTGATAATACGTTATAGAGATACCAAATTCACTGGTCGTGCCGTAGCCCGTATCTTTCATGGAATACAAAGCCCGAATTATTCCGCGGTGATTTGGAGCAGATGCCGTTTCTGGAGGATTCATATCGCTGTAGATTTTAATACAATTTGCAAAATCGCGACCAGAGAAATTCTAGCGTTACGATAACGGAATCGGTTAACGAAACAATAACAGAATTAATATGCGTTATATTCAATCTAATTAATTATCGTATTAATTTGAACATTCAGTTTTAATTCTCATCGAAATGAATCAATGGACAAAAAAGTTTTAGATTTGCTCTTTAAAAGATATTTCATTCTCATTGAAATAAACATTATATATATTGATCAAAGTTTATAGTAAAATATAATTGATCAAAGTTTATTAGAACAGTGAATTTTGTAACAAGATGTACACTTAACAAGAAAACATAACTTATTTTACATTTGGAGTAAAGTATAAAAGGACTTTAATAAAAAAGGTAAAGTATCATTATACATTTTATGCAATTATATTTAGTATTAAGACTCCTGTTTCTTTTTTACGATATATATAATATAAAAAATAACGAAAGAGAAACCTTAACATAATTTATTTTATATTTTATAATCTAAAGGAATTTTAATGTTAAAACTCTACAGATTGTAATATAAAAAAGAACAATACATAATGCTTTCCTTCACATTTAGTACGTTACATTTTCGATTCCTAGAAACTATACAGGTTTCTTCTAGCAACATATGCAATATATTTTGTTAAATATTTTTATATCTTGTATAAAACATGAAAACAGATATTAGTCGCTTGTCGACAAATCCTTATAAAAAAAAAGATACAAATATAACAGCCATATAATATAATATATAACACATGTAACATTTAAATATATAACTATTGTATATAAAATATATAATAGCTATTTTATATAAAACAACTTTTCAAAACAACTTATCAAAGTTATTTTTCAAAATAATCGATTAAAATATATTGGATTATCGTCATTATTGTAAAATTCCATGATGCCGATAAATTACTCGCTAGATATGCTTGCTTCGCTCAAATCATGTCACGACTCTTTTCATATAATTGCATTGCCGCAGAAATTTATGCATTCGAATTTGATGCATCTTTCCAACACGATTCATGCACGTTTCATTTTGGCAGAGAGCGCAAAACTCTGCAGAAATATCGTGGAATGGTGAACGAAAATATACATTGGTATTTTTCAAAGTCTTGTTCTTGTGATGTGCCCATACGTGCAGAATAACCTTAATATAATATAATATAAAATAATATAAATTTTGACAATTACTTTTACAAAATTTGTGAAATTTCATTATTTATAATACCTCGAAAATCATCAACAAAGCGAGAAACCAGCGGAAGTAAATAATTGCCGGTAAAAACAGACAGACAGGATTTATCTGACCAAAAGAAGCACCCGCTGGAACTGGCTCCAACTCCATTTGATAGCGTTTTTTCAAGGTCTTTTCCTTCACTTCTTTCGGTATCTATGTTCGAAGACATTTTTGCTTATTTTAATCTTTAATTTATCATTGCAGGTGTAAATTATAACACGTTTAATTTCACATATTTAAGTAAATTAATTTTGGTTATTAATTTTTGCAACTTATCAAATCTAGAAGAGAGGTAGATGCGAATATTTTTCATACCTGAAACGGCACTTTCCTAAGATGACCCATAACCGTTGTATGATTCACGAGATGGACTTCTGGTTCTCCCGTCTCCGCATCATTTATCATTGTTGAGTCGGTCGAATGACAAATATCATAATCATAGAATGGATAAATCAGATCCTCGCCAGTCTCCTCGTCTATGTAGATTCGATCCATATTGATTCCTCGTTCGCACATGATATAAAAAGAAGATCGGACTCGAAAAGAGATATTCGGTCGTCTGATTCGATCACTGGGTCTTCGGGGTCACACTTCCCGGATGTCCACGCGTTATGCTAATTGCAAGATACCTCTGGTAGGGAGGAGTTTTCTGAATCAGATCGGACGGTCTGCAACAAGGATAGTTGGACTTAACAATAGCTAATTTTTAGTAGATAAAATTCGCATTTACATATGATATCGTGAATATACATATTATATATCGTTCCGATATTAAATCTCTAAAAACAAAGATATTCCGTAAAGCTTCCGAAGTACGTATGTTAAATGATTACGTCGCTGTCTCTCCTGCGTACATGAGAAATTGAGAATATATAACGTACAATAATGCTTTAGAGAATATGTAAGCGCGGTAATGAGTAACCGCTAATGAGTTATCCAGCTGTTTTCATTAAAAAAACACATCACATTTCCTCCTCGATGTCAAGGAACGATTTCCCTTTCTTATTATTTCAAACGATGTTTTTGCTCGACAAGGCTGCGAGCGACAGGTTGTAAGATTTGTCTTTTCTTTCTTTTTACGAGACTTCTTCTGCCGGATTACATAAAATCATTCGCGCGACGACTGAGTCTCGTAACTATTAGTATCGTCGTTAATCGTTTGCGGTGGACATATGTTACACGTGTATCCGCATTTTCTACATGCGCTCGCAATAATATTACAAAGATATTCAATTATACCGCACATGACTTCGCGTTTTCAACATATAGCTCGATCATCTTATTCTTCTCTCTTCTGTTTCTTTTAAAAAGAAGAGAATCACTGACATTTTACCGTATTTTGAAACAAATAATGTTGATATTACAAAAAAATGAAGAAAATTAACAATTAAAGAATATGAAGGAGAATTTTTCTTTTCTTGAATGCATTCATATTTGCGCCCGTGTCGCGCTGTTTTTCCACGAAAAAGAAAAACAAGGCTTATAAAATAAAAAGAAAAATATAAAAATATTTTTTTAAATTACTGTTTTTAAGTACTTTTTTAAATTAATTACATTAGACTAAATAAAAATTTTCTTTCTTCGATTTGATAAAAATAAAAACTTGGAATTAATTCTTGTTTTAAGAAAACATTCATAACGAGATGCTTGAATGATGCAGAAACTTAACACATTCGTTTCTTTCGTGAAGTAATCATCAAAATAATTATGATAATGTGATGCCTTGAATGCCATGAACTGAATAGAAGCATAAATAATAGGGCAATATCTATTTTGCAAATTCTACCTGTCTAATAATTCTGTTTTTTGTGTTTCTTATAACATTCACGAGATCATATCTTATAACATTCATCAGATCGTAATCGTCCATTAATAACAGCAATTCAGACAATTCTTTATTCTATTTTTAGGCGATGTTATCAAGAAGTACATTCAGTTCAGACAGCAGAATGAAAGCAGGTTTATTCGTATCACTCGCAAAAAAGCTCTTGCTCCTCTCTTGCTCTCAGTATAAGTTTCATATTTACTTACAAAAATATAGCAAATATATTATTGATCACTACACAAAAAGACATCTTTAATCTGGAATAATACAAGGTAAAATAGACAAAGTTTTACGTGAATGAATAAAGGTCAAGATTGTTCCAAGTGCAGATATTAGAATAAGAAACAATACATGTATAAGATATACAAAAAATACATGTAGAACCATTGAACACTTATCTATACTTATCTACACAAATCCACTGATTTCAGAATCAAAGGTAATATATATATGAATAAGGCTACGGTCCATTTAACGCTACAAAAGCTTCGAAGCGTTTGATTAACCAATCAAAACAAAGAATTCTATGAATTGACCAATCAAAAAATGCTTCGAAGCACCAAATGGACTACCCTAAAATTCATAATTTTTTCCAAAAACGATAAAAACGTCACGTTTTCTTTTCTGTTATAAACTGCGTAGCAAGATAATATTGATGCTCTTAAAGAAAGTATCGAAGGCGAGATATATCAAAAGGAACGAGATAAAATCAGAATTCACGAATCAAGTTGGACTCACACTGGCAGCTCGATGATAATTAACGTGGCCTTTGCACTTGAGGCAGCATCGAATGCAAAATTACTTCGTAATGCAAATTCACTCGCCACTCAATCGTGACGAATAGAACGATGCCATAATTCAGACACGCTCGTGCCTGAAAGGCGACACCGGGGACTTATTACACCAGCTTACAACCCGGCAGGCTCGCGCGATATGTGACGTTTAATCAACCACTCGACGCCCGTATGATTTATACTGTACCGCGCGTCCACAAAAGTTTACAACCCCGCATCAAACCAGATCGAACGACCGCAAACTACTAAAATTTTGACACAGTAAACCAGTGATGTAATTAGAAAGGTGAAGCATTGCGCATAATGGCGGTCGCTTGCTATTTTAACCAATCAGATGTGTGCCTAAATACAAAGCGCCAACTTTAATTTCAATTTTAATTTTAATTTTAATGAATTATTTTTGGAGGAAAAATATTGCAATTCACCCTCGTAATCATACGATTTGTTAATTTATCAAAAATTCCACTTTCTTTATTAAATGTGGAATTTTAAAAAATTCTTCCATAATCTTCGCTACGGATATAAAAGATTTTGCAGGATACAATAGTCTAACAAATAAAATACACCAAAAAATAATACACTAAATAATAAATAATAAACATACTTGTCCTGTATCTATCTGTACTAACCTGGGGGTCAATCATATAACTTTTCTCCTAGAGCGGAAACGTGAAAAGTGAAAAGTTTCACGTGAACTTATAATCATGTACGATTTTGCGGGATCATGTAACTCTCTCAAACGTGAAAATTGTGAAATTTGTGAACAATGTGAAATTTTTCACGTGAATTTTTTCGCCATGTACTTTGGTGACGGAAAAACGGAAATCTAGGGAATTAATAAATATACTTCGGAATTAGAGAAGATTAGGGCTGCGTTAGGATTAAGTGTACGTAGTACATATACAATTGATTATTAAAAGATGTATATAATACTGTACCAATAAAATAATTTTCATTAGCTATAAAATCTATGAAACTATGTTTCATGATTTCACTTTCCACCAAGCTACATACATAATCGCTGTATGTGAAAAGTTTCACGTGAAATGTCAAAGTGTGAAAAATGAAAAGTAAAAAGTGAAAAATTTCACGTAAAATTATATGATTGACTCCCTGAAACATATTTTGTCAAATTCATGATCAAACCCCCCCACTACATTGGTTTCGCATTAGGCACATTTCTGATTGGCTGACTCCCCACTAAATTTCTAAACCGCGCATCTAAACTGCGCATCCTCAGGAATGCTTCATCTTTCTAATTACACCATGCAGTAAACGATACGTGATATATGACATGCGAGATACGAGGTAGGGGATGGATACGATTTAAGTAAGCATTGCAGATATGTTCTCGATACTTTTCGGCAAACGAGTATTCTCGCGCTTCAAATCAGACGACCAATAAACAATAATGAATTTTTACATGTCCAATAGGAAACGGCTCTTTCAAGGAATTTTAGTTACGGGCACTCTCAAAAGTGCAGAACTGAATTCAAAAACACTAGATATACATTTTATTCTTGTTATTTATCGAATGTTAAACAAGGATAAAATGATATGTGAGTGCATTCAAGTACTATTTCTATTATTTCTTAACGCATATTTCTGAATTTTCCTTTAGCTACTGTATGTGATTGGATGTCGTACGACAGAGGGTGCGTTCCTTTATTCACTCCGAGTGCTCATGCTATGACGTAATGGAAGTGTACTGTAGAAGTAAGAAATTGACCAATCATAATCGAATGAAAAGAATAATCGCTTATGATAAGTCAATTTCTTACGGCTTAAGCTTAAATCACCTATTGTGGACCGACACTTATAAAACGGAACACAGTTGCAATATGTTTTCAAGCTCCAATTGAAAATGGTTGGCATATGTAATATTAAAAAAATATAATTTATTATATATATTAAATATAATATATATATATATATATATATATATATAAAAATAATTAATAAAAATAAATAAATAAATAAATAAAATAAATAATAATAATATAATAACAATAATAATATAAATAAAATAATTGATAATAATAAATAATTTCATAATATTATATAATATCATAATAATTTCATTTTTTATATTATACGCTTATTTTCTTCAATCAAGCTATTTCAGTCTCCATGGAAGCAGCCATCTTTGTGCTCTAACTGCTTTACCTCGCTAGTTGCAATAGAAAGTACATCAAAATAAATGACGTCATAGAATTCAAGGCAGTACTTTCGGAGTGCACTACTCTTTATATCGAAACGCTATTCGTAGTACTGATAGTACTCGGAGTAAATAAAGGAATGCACCCAGAATCGACACAGCGTGATCGCAGCGCATCCTCCGTAACGTTGCTACGAAAAATTGGGCAGATCCTTCAAAGGGATTATCCACATCCGGTATTATCTGTCGTTACGGGAAAACGATAATTGACAGTAGTATTGTGTGTAAATGCGAGCAACGACAAATATGGACTTATCTTGTCAGAATTCTAGCACAAGTACTGAATATTTGCTCGGTCAATTGAATATAGCTAGACAAGAAATTAATAATCTAAGGTACGTTAAAAAAAAATTTCTTTCTAATTGTATCTTTTTGTATTCCTTATACATTTAATGTCAATATATTTATCTTTTTTTTTCCATTGACATTTTCTATGTTTCATACACTTATATAATCGCATATCTTGCATTTAACATTTAAATTTCATTAGTTATGAAGAAATTAGCTAAAGGGATAGTAAAAATTAATCAATTATAATTATACCTAATTTAAATGTATTGGAATAAGTCTTTGTGAAAAATATTTGATTTAACATATTGCAGACAACAAGTTAAAAGCCTAAGGTATATACTCGATAAAGATGTTGATAATATCAAACGTTTACTGGAATTGAAAAAGAATGAAGAAACTCTTTCGCAGTCTAAACTAATATCTTCAGAAGAAGCAAAACCTGGTACGAGTAAAGATCAAGATATTCTCAAGTTAAAACCCATTGGTATCATTTCTACTTGGTTCCCCAATAAAAGAGCAACTCCAAGACAACCTGGCATATGTGGGAAAGTTCCAGGAAAGTTGACACTTTTTAATACTGTATTTACAAATCCAGATCATGCCTTGCAGGGCTTGCAAGATTTTTCTCACATGTGGTAAAGTAATCAATCATTTTAAAAACAATTTTCAATTATTGTACATTTTGAAAGAACTAATAATCCTTAACATTTTTCTTTTGATAGGATTTTATTTCACTTTCATAGAAATGATTCGACTCATACTCGTGCAAAAGTGGCACCACCAAGATTAAATGGAATAAGAACAGGTGTTTTTTCTACACGATCTCCACATCGGCCATGCCCTATTGGCCTTAGTCTAGTTAAAATCCTAAAAATTGAAAATTACACTATTTATTTCGAGGGTGTCGACATGATTAATCAAACCCCTGTTTTAGATATAAAACCATATATACCGCAATATGATAACCCATTACATATTGAAAAACTAGGCAATAGATTGAGAGAGAATAATGCAAATGTCTCGGATATGTTTCATGATACAGACGAAACCTTTAATTTGAGCGAGAGTTATACAGTTGATTCTTTTAGCACAGATACAGATGTCAACAATGATGAACAGATAGAGATTGATATCTCCAGAGATGAGGAAATAGCTCTGAGACTTCAAGTAGAAGAATATCAATCTTATCCAAATCTCAATGGTTATGATATTGCGAGACAATCTTCACAATTGGCAGAAACTCACGCCAATACTTCGTTACAAAATGACATTAATGTAGATGTACACAGAGGAACGTACTCTATTCGAAATGGAACATCTCGTACATCGAATTTGAATTCATCTGTTGAACATGATGCAACGTTAATAGTTGAATCACAGATGGATTCTGTCAGGGATTTGAATAATAGATTACACAGAATAGATATAAATAACTCAGATAATACAGAATCAAGACATTTAGAAAGAAATGATGATACTCAAGTTAATTATAGCGAAAATCAGACTTTACGTAACTCTAGACTCTTAGATGGGGCAGATGGACCAAGCACGGTTTGCGGTACCGACATAGATTTAATCAATCGTCATATATTACATACAAGAGTTGATAACTCTCCAGTAAGAATGGGTATACGCGAAGCACCCGATGGAGAAGAGGGGCTTGAATCTCAAAGTTTGACACCTTCGCGTACTTTACCAGATATTCATGCTGCAGCAGTTATATCATCTGGACCGACGGTAAATACGGCGACAGAAAGTAACTTTTCTGAAATAAGAGTACCAGATTGGATTTCGCAACCTCGTACAACAACATTATCCGTGATTTTCAACGAACGCGCTTTGATGCAATTAAATGAAATTCTAGATGATAAAGTTGATGAGCAAAAACGAGCTATAGAAAATGTCCTAAGGGAAGATCCTAGATCGGTTTATTTAAGACAAAGATGGGGAGGTAATCAGTTTTATACCTTTTTAATACACGATCTGCATATTACATGCAGATTCGATGATAACAGAGGTATTGTTACTGTATTTCAAGTCCGACATGCAGGTCGTACATGTGATTGCGGTGAGCCCGAGTGGCAATGCTTAGGACACTCTCCTCTATCTTAATATATCATATTAAGGAATTTAGAGAAAAATAAAATGAATTAGAAAATAAAAAAAATTCTATCACTATATCACAATTTATTATATGAAAAAAACGTAATTGTTATTTATTTATTTTTATATTTTTAGATATATTTTATTCTTGTAAAATAATTTAATTTTTTTATAAGTTTATTTAGCAATTATTTAGTTAATAGAACATTTTTTTTTGTAAAATGAAAATAATTTAATGTGTATGAGAAACGTCTCATATTTAACCAATACTTTATTGCAAGTGTACGAGTTCCTACATTCTGTTATGTACAATTATAATTTATATCATATTTATATTGCAAGGTATTTGTGCAAAGTAAAAACAAAAAAATAGATGTTTATTTTATATATTTTACATAAAATTGAAGAAAATTATAAGAACTACATTTCTTTGAACAGAAATGTGCCCTATTAAAAGATATTCTGAATATCTAAATATATTTATTTATGTATACATTCGTATTGTAAAATCTGCACCAGCAGAGAATACCCATGGTTCAATAGAGTGGAAGATGACATCCAAAATACCAAAATCATTGTATGCTTCATGATTACACAATCTTTTCAGTGGCACAATTAACGGATTTTGTAAAAGATCACTAGAAAAAAAAGTCATAATGATAAACATCATGCACTTATGTATGCATGTATATATAAAATTAAATATGCAATAAGGTTCTATCTTACTTGTACACCATTCCATGAGATATAATTAATGCTCTATCATCAGCTCCAGAAGCAAACAGAGGATATCGTTTGTGGAATGCTACGGCACGTACGCCAGTTCCATGTAATCTCAATGTCTGATAAGGCTCTTTACTAAAGTCTAAATCGAACCAGAGCATCTTGCGATCATATGTTCCTACTAAAACATTATCGCCTCCTAAAAAATTCATAGCACAATTACGAATATGAATATATAATCTATAATGAAATGTACAATGTAGCTTACCTGGATGAATATCCATCGTTGATATCCATTGTGAATTGGATAATAATTTTTTAATCATTATCTGTTGCACAAGATCGTATATTCTCACATTTCTTTGTGTCTAAAAAAGATAATTCACATAAGAAAATCTCAAGTGTTAATACCATTATATATTTTTAGATTGCTAACACTTACTGCAACAAATAAGTATGGTTTAATCGGATGAAATAACACACATTGTATTAATCCTTTTGACTTATTGAAAGGTAATTGAGACCTTCGTTTTGATAATTGATTTATTAAAACTGATCTATTCTGACCATCTGGCATTACTGTAGCAAAGTAGTCTCCTTTTCCATGCCATGTTACTTGTTTTACAGTTTTAAAGTGATTTAAAATTATTCTAATTCCATTTTGCCAATATTCACTTTCTGCTTGCTCCCATTGTACTGCGCTTTGTACCCTATCGCTAACTAATGCATCAAAATAAAGTATGTCAGTCATATTTGAAAATTAGTTTCTAAATAGATAATTATAAACATAAACAATTAATGTGATTAATTAATAGTACCTATTACTTCACTCTGTGGTATTATCTCTAAAAGTTCATCAGTTTTGTTGGTAATAACATTATCTCCAACTCCAGGATTTATTAAGAGCACCTTTTTATCAGCTGCCACGGCTATCAATGACATAGCCTGGTTCGGACGCCAGGCAACACTTCGAATGACACCACCGCAAGGCACTGTTTTCAAGCACCTACCTGTGTTGACTTCCCATACTGTTAAAATGATATGACACAATTATGCTTTATATAAAGATATATTACAAATATATAATGTATAAATTCAGAATAATTATGCAAATATATAAGGTATCTATAGAATAAAAGCATAAGATAACTCACTTTTCAAGAACATATCATCTCCACCTGATGCGATAAACTGACCCTCTGGTTCTACAGTAATACTTCTGACCATGTCAGTATGCCCTTTAAATACCATAAACATTGTTGTTGGAAATGGTTGCAAGTCTTTTGGACTGGGTAATTGTGGAACCAAAACTTCAGGTTCTATTGTCAGTCTCATTTTTAATGATCTAGAGCATAGGTACAGATCTAAACACCTCTGAAATCTTTCTTTAATATATCTTGGATACGCTGGCACTTCTCGAAGAGAACTGTATTTTTGTGGTATAAAATGTAATTTCCTTTTCCATGGAGTTGCCTTTAATTTATTCCATTCTTTAAGTTCTTTGTTATCGAACAAATATTCTGGTGGAGGATTATAACTCTCTGCATGTCCAGGTAAATGTCTTTTAGGTGCTGGGATATGTTTATGTATTCTACGCATTTCTTCTGCCTGGTCGTCAGATTGCCACAACATATAAAACTGTGGTCCTTGATTCTTTTCTCTTTCTTTTTGCATTTCAGCAGTGGATTTCATCCAACCCATTTTGAGAGCATGTACCAATTTGGATACTTTTCTAGCTTCATTCTTAGATGGTAAGAAAGAACGTTTATGCTCTGGGAATTTACGAAGTGGTGTTTTCATTACTTCAGAAGTAAACCAATCCACCCATGGCTATAATTATATAAAATATATATAAAATAGTTGAAAAGTTATTCTTACATAGTACACAATAATTTTCAAATTATTAGATTATCGAACTTACCGCATATTCATCAAATTGAACATTAGGTATTTTCTGTTTTTGAATCCTTACAATTAAATCTATATCTGCTTCACTTAATACAACATCCTGACCAGTCTGAAGATCTTTTATAGTTCTCCAAAAGTCAGGATTCTCCATTCTTTTCAGAAAATTATCCAACTCATCTCCTCTTTCAGGTTTAAGAATTTTCTTACCTTCCCAGTCATATCCAATATGATTATATTCATTATACCAATTCATTGGTATATTTCCAACTGTGTTACGAATATCTTCTTCATCAGAACTGTCATGTTCATATTCATTTTTATCCTTTGCATTATTAGATATGTCCATTTCTTGTTTATTACACATATCATCTTTATGTACCTGTGCTTCATCTAACTTCTTATGACCTTTATAAGTATTTAATTTGTTTCTCACTGAGATAATTTCTCTTTTTGCTGATGTGTTACCACTAGATATTAGAGATTCTTTATTTTTATTCTTATTCCTTAATTCATCAACTTCTGATTCAGTTGACAAATTTTCTTCTGACATTTCTTCATCATAGTTCTCTGATTCAATATCTCCAGAATCATTATCTTCATCAGAACTAAATATAACCTCATCTTTCTCTACTTCTTCATCTGAATTAAATGCAACTGTATCTTCTTCTACCTCTTCATCTGTAGCATCTTCATCATTTATTTGAGCTGCTAATAAATCTTCCAGGCCAGATTCCTAAATCATTAAAAAATATAGTTCATATATCATAAAATATATATTTCATTTACCAAATATATATTTCATTAATTTATCAGTACAACAGTGTGTGTACTGTTATTCTCATGTATTAATTTTCAGACACACAAATATTTTACGTTTGGATCAATTCTTTCAGTTCTTTAAACATTCAAAAAAATCTATTACTAAATTTGCAAGAATACTATTTTTTTTTATGAATATTTCAATATCACACATAAAAAAATTTAATTTTTTCTGCATTATCTTAAAATCACAAAATTATCATTAAATATTTAACATTATTATATGTTTACGTATTCAGAATTAAAATGAAGAAACATGTTCAATTTATTTATTTATTTAAATTAAAAATTATTATAAATTGTACGTAAGCTAATATATGTAACGAAAATATACGTAAAGCAAAATAGACATTTATTGTACTAATGGTAATAGGCTATACCTTTGCATTATCTGGAACATGTGTATCTTTTTTAATTTCATTTTTATTTTCTTCTAATCTTAAATTATCATGTTTCCTCTTCAAGATTTTTTTCTGACCCATTTTCTTCAACTTTCTTCTTCAAAATTCACGCACGCTGAGCGAGGTTATATGCAAAACACGTGTAATTTAGGTACGTTCCACTTATCGCACGCAACGACTACGACCACGACCGCAATATTTACGGGAACGTCCCAGATGCGCACATTTTCAATCGGATACACCACTCAATCGATGCCTAGGAATTTTCTAGTGAGCCACCTATCAACAATTTTTTTATTTAATCGATCAATCGACAATGTGTCGATTGGACCTCACCCATATTACTGTTCCACTACCTTGCAAGCGTGTGAGCGAAATCTTAAACGACCACACCGACCCACCTACGAACTGTGAGCGTCGTGGGCTCGATGCTGTAACATCTGCAGAAAATTAAAACTTGCGAACGTTCATCCGAAATGACGTAGGTGCAATCGAGCGGTACCTTAGGTTAACGCATGCGCGATTTTAAATATTAAGATATATAACTTTTACCATTTTATAGTCTTATCATTTTATATTCTTCCTTTTTTTTTATATAACTTTTATTATTAAGATAATTAATGATAAAGCGAGAACTCATTTTTCTTCGTCTTGCGATAAGATATAATTTTATTTTACTATTACTATTGTTTTCTTTTGGATATATAATTTGGAAATATAATTCTATAACTTAATTTTCTTTTTCTCGAATCATCTTTTCTTCGGTTTTCGATGCTGCAATTGTAGAAGAGATAAAGGACCATTCGACGAGTCTTAGTTTTGTAAGAAGTTCCTAAGAAGTTCCTAAGACAATCGGTGAATGGCGCCAAGAGTGCTGTTCACCAAAAAGAGCGCCTCTCGATCGAACACGACACGATTGTGTGATACTTAGAAAGAACTAATCGGATAAGGGCTGATGCAATCTGTATTAGCTTTAAGATCGAATGTGCTCCGATGTGCGGCGCAGCGAGCGAAGGGGACTCTCTCTTCAGTCGGCGAATGGGGCAGACGTGTCATCCGCGAGAGTTCAAGTCGAATAGTCGGAACCAAATAGTAGACATAGTCGAGATATCGTGTGAATCGATATCAGAATAATCGTTGTATTTCGGGCAAAGTCAGTGAAAATATATATATTCTTTATTATATTAATAAGTTGCCTAAAAGTTATTGTGCCTGCTCCATTATCCATCACGTGTCGGTCACCTCTCTCAGTGCGTGTATTAAACGATCAGACAGTATTTGTAATAACGGACACTAATTCCTGACAAACGGTTACTTTATTCAAATTCAAAAATTACAAGAATCTTACAGTTTATACTAAAGGGGAGGCTTATCGTATTCAAATATTCCTAATGTAAACTTTCCAACGAAAGGCTAGCTCGGAATTGCGCAACGAAATTTAACCGACGAAAACGAATTCAATGAATTCTCGTTTTGCAATAATAAGATTTATTATTAAATATTAATAATGATATTTCCAAAAAATATTAGGTCTTAGCTTTATTTTTCTTTCTTTCTTTTCCTTTTATCTTCTCCTAATTTCGCGTAAATAATCGTAGCATGAAATAAAATGCTCAGTCAAGGAGTGCTTTGTTTGCCCCTCCCCTTTGCATCGGGCCCTACCCTAGAGATAGAGGCTTGGATGCAGACGGGACAGTCGTTACCAAATCGTCAGGGAATGCAGTCACTGTCTCAAACCGCTGAATCTTATAATTACAAGGAATTACATCTTATAATTATAAAGGAAAAGTAAGGAAAGGAAAAGGAAATCACTAGAATTCTAATACGTTTAATAACTTACCTCTAACAATTTAAGGTAATCATTGTTTCTAATACTATTTGGAATATTATTTGATTTGCCTATATTATATTATTTGATTTTCTTATACTATATTATTCAATTTGCTTATATTATATTATTTGATTGTCTTATATTATATTATTTGATTAGCTTATATTATATTATTCGACCAGCTTATATTATATTATTGATTTTCATTTCATTTTAATATTACTACTTATATAAATTTTAGAGATAACTTAGAATTTAATTATCATATTCACATCTTATTTCATTATTATTACATATTTGATATTTTTATATTGGTTAAGTTGTATATCATTCATATTATTATTACATCTACGTCTGTCTATGTTCAACGTCAATATCTCTGTTTATATATATAATATATATATGTATATTAATATTCCTTAATCATATATCTTTGAATTAATTTACACATTATTTTCTTATCATTCCTATTTAATATTTTCTGATTTCCATTCCCATTTCATATATAATTAAGCTTATATTACTCTCATCTTTTGCATAAATCAAATATTCATATATATGTAAACCTGTATTTCCGATATTTTGCCATTATTTTATTCATCACTATTTCACCATATAATTCTCATTAATACTTTCATTACTATTATATTATTATTATTATTATTATTATTATTATTTTAATGTAACTATTTATTCGTGTTACATAATTTTTTTTACATATATTTAATATTTTACAATAATCAAACAAATCATTTCTTTCTGTCATATTAAATAATTTTGAATCACAATTTCACAATCAATTACACCAACAATCATAACTTTACTATACAATATCATATTATTATATTAATATATCCGATTATTATATTAATAAAACATATTTCCCTGCGATTTCCGCTCGGTCGCGGGTTCCGAAATTCGAAAATATAGTTTAATCATATCCAATATCGCCATTGAATATAAATACACTAGATATCCCTTCCCAAATTCCATTAATCGTTCTACGCCATCTCGGGACGTATCAATGCGATTAATGACGTCATCTATGACGTTCTAATCGTGACCACAACGATCTAGGTCGTTATGTGGGCTTTGCGGACGCTGCGAGCGTTGTAAGCGTTAAAGGAACGCACCCTTTGTAAAAGCTTCCAAATTTCTCACTTTTTTAATGCTTTTTCTTTATTGGCTACCTTATTAAGGAACCATATTGGCTGCATTCATTGAGAAAGCAACTTTGCAACGTTGTAAAAATCTTTGATATAATTGGTTTTTGCCATTAATTCCTCATAGATCTAAATATATAAACCTAAATGTATAATCATATTAAAAAACATATTAAAAAACTTTACAGCGCGAGTTATCATCATAGGATACGGTCAAGGGCATACTACAAATGCTTTGAAGCATTTTTTGATTGTGCATTAGTAAAATTATTTGTTTTGATTGGACAATCAAATGCTTTGAAGCATTTGTAATGTTACATTGACCGTAGTCATAGACATTTATACTATACATTAGAGACACTATAATCAGAGACTGGTCACGAAAAAGCAACTTTTGATTGGTCCACCATCTTTTGGCTATTCCCACTTATTTTCAAATACGTTAACGATATTAATCTTAAATTATAATATTTTAATTTAAAAACATAAGTGTTTTAAAGGTAATAAAATGTGTATATTTATAAAACTTTTTACGTAATTATATTATCAATAATTTATTAATGTATATCTTTTAATTTTAACGATTTTAAATTTATTTATTTATTTTTTTTACTATTTATCTTTTTCAACACAAGAGCAAAAATTAATATAATACTATTATACTACTATTACTATAATATTTTTAACTTTTTGATACACAATTGTCAAAATGATCCTCTGTGAAATCAATACAATGACAGCTATTCACAAAGTTAGCGCAGCGAGAGAACCTATCGCGGAAAAGCGTTAACAATAAATTTCGAGGAAATTTCGAAAGATGCAAGTATCAATGTCATGCCTTTTTTTAAAAAATTATTATACATATTTATTATTATTAAATAAACTTTATTACAATACAAAAATTTAAGTAAAAAAATGAACATCTACCCATTTTTTATATTGATTTATCACAATTAATTAATTTATGACTATATTTTGCAATTTTAGTTTCTATTATTTAATAATATATTATCACGCTTTTCATGTGTTTAATACACATACACAATACACTTATATCAATGCACATGCAATGTAAAAAAATATCGCTATTGGTTAGAGTGAGATGATATATATTTCTTTCTTTCTTGTAGGATTTAGCCACATGGTGGATCAGAATCTCTGATTGGCAAATCAGAGTCGTGACCAGTCTCTAATTGTAGTGTCTCTAGTTAATGTTATTCTTCTACCATAAGGTTAACCAATAAGTACATTGTAGAAAAGAGATAAAGATTCCTTTAGTATGCTCGTCCTTTTCTCTGTTAGACCGCGGTTTTCTATAATTTAGTATAGGTAAGATTCACTTCAGTATACTATAAAGCTCAATAGTGCTGGCTGAGTAGCTAGAATTTTATAGAAGGCATTTGATATATTTATTTATTTATTTATTCTTTCGTCATACTTATTTTCTTTGACAAATAGTAGCAAACAGAAGAATGATAGAAGATCTGATATTCGAAGGAAATTTTTAATCACGTAATTTAAAGCTGTGTTTTGATTGATTTTCAAAATAAACTAGCAACAAACATGCAAGAACAATAGCATTGGATCTATCATAAAAATTCAATAAATCAGCCAGCAGTGTAGCCAGCGGGCTATACAATTTCCAACATAGTAGCCAGCAAAAAATAGCCAGTACAGGAGCACGTAAACAATCCAGAGGGGGTTAATCATATAATTTCACGTGAAATTTTTCACTTTGCACTTTTCATTTTCCACACATTGACATTTCACGTGAAACTTTTCACGTATAGTGATGTATATAGCTTGGATGCGTGGAAAGTGAAATCATGAAACATAATTTCATAGATTTTATAACTAAGGAAAATTATTTTATTGGTACAGTATTATATACATCTTTTAATAACCGATTGTACATGTACTATATACACTTAATTTTAACGCAGCCCTAATCTTCTCTAATTCCGAAACATATTTATTAATTCCCTAGATTTCCGTCTTTCTGCCACGAAGATACATGAAAATGTAAAATTTTTTACGTTTGAGAAAGTTATATGATCACACGAAATCGTACATGATCATAAGTTCACGTGAAACTTTTCACTTTTCGCGTTTTCGCCCTAGGAGAAAAATTGCATGATCGACCCTCAAAGCAGCCAAAGAAGCATCGTATGCCGCCGGCTTTAGGCCTATTTACAATGCGTCAGAAGCTGTAAGAATGGGCCAATCATAATCAAGTATTCTCTTCATATTCGACTATGATTGGTCAATTTTTGTGGCTTGCGGCTGCGATACCGACATGCGACGTATTGGGTGCTTTCCATTTATCATGACTTGTGTCGACTTGAGCTGACTCAAGTCATTAACTCCTAATGTAATAAATGAAAAGCACCTATCTGTGCAGAAGTTGATATATAGTAGGTTTTTTGATCTAAATAAAATATCATTATCACTATTTTATTAAAATTATTATTATTTGAAGATAATAGACATATAACAATGTAAGTTTTTTAATTTTCTATTCTATTTTTATTTTACAAATATACACAGAAATACATATACTTTTATATAAAATTACAATATAAAACATATAGAGATTATATGTAATAATAAATTAAAATTATATGTAATAATAAATAAGTTAATATATAATTTTTTCTAACAAATCAATGAAAATAATTGGATAAATGCAATTTATTATGCAATTATGCAATATTTATTGCATAATGATAGTACTAGCAGTGATAGTAGCAATAGTGACAACACTATCAGCAGCAATAGTTCTTTAGATGAGAGCAGGATATACATAGACATAGTATATCTATACTAACTAGACCGAGCTATATACCAGGCAATGGGCGACATGTGCAAGTGAGAAGAAACAACACCTGATTTTTTCTCTCTCTCTAATAGAAAAAAGTGGAGGAAACATTAAGTGAGGACTGTGTATATAATCCTTATGGGTGCATTCATTTACGCAGTATTTTGTGCATCTGCTTTCTCATTTGCTTGTCACGTGATCGAAATTTACCGAACGGATAACTGCATGAATAACTGCACAGATCATATTTTTCAATAGAAATTGAACCGATTTGAATGATAAGTAAAGAGAATTTTATACATAAATTTATATTCGAATAATTAAAATGTAATAATACTTTTTTATTATATAAAAGATAGTATTTTATTCATATTAAATTTAATTGATATAAATAATGGATATTATAAAAAATATTTAATCTATGAATTTTACTTAAAAGTTAGATATTAATTTTTGTGAATTATATTTGATTATTCTTATTTTTTCTTATTTTTATTCTTATTTTTTATTCTTATTTTTTCTTATTTTTTTATTTTATCTTATTTTTATTTTAATTATATCTTATTATTCTTATTTTACTTGGATCAATTATTTGTTTCTGATCCATTTCACTTCTTATTCTAATAAAATTTATTTTGGTGTTCGTTTACGCAGTACTGCAAGCAGAGCATCCAAAGCAGGACTTCCGAGATAGCTGCACAGATGAGATACATCCCTGCTTAAACGACAATGAACTGCGCTGCAGTCACTTTCGCAGACGGAGTAAACGAACGATATCTGCGGTAGTGACTGCATAAACGAATGCATCCTATCATAGACACAGTCCCCACTTAATGTTTCCTCCACCTCCTTCTATTAGAGAGAGAGAAAGAAAAAATCGGGTGTTGTTTCTTCTCACTTGCACATATCGCCCATTGGCTGGTATAGCATGCTCGGTCTATCTATACCGAGTGTATTTGTTTACGCAATGGCTGCGTTCGGATTCTTCACCCGGATGCTTTCTTTTTTTCTTTATCTCACTTTTATATCTCTTTCACTCCAATGCAGCGAGTGCACTCGGAGTGAAGAATCGAAACGCAGCCCTACGTAAATGAATGCACCCACTATGTCTATGAGAGTATGCAAGCTGCTCTCTTGGAAAGCATGGAAAGCGCCACTTGAAATTCGCGGGGGCAATATAAATCAATATGGCGGATACCTATTCTAATAACTTCCTTTCCTTCTATTACTTTATAGTGTTTGATATTATATAAAATAATAATCTACTCTACATTACTATATATATATATATATATATATACTA